GTGTGTTGAGGAACGAGGTTGTGAGTGAGGCGAGAGACATACCTGGTGCTGGAAGCGTGCGACATTGGTCGTTGTATGCTCGTACTTCGGGAAAGTTGTTGACGTCATCTTTGGCATTGTAGTCTAGGCTAGATAGGATCTGCCATCTGTAGTCTGGGCGCCGAGCGCCATATAGGATATCAACATTGGTTCTTCATTGATGATGATGATGAGACTTTACCAGCATTGTCAATTATGAACTCTTGGTGTGTTCTTATTTGCTGAAACTCGTGATGCCATTCTGCTGTTGGTTCTAGGTCACGACTATCTGGTCTTGTGTATATGATGTTGTTTGATTGCTGAAGTTCGCTATTGCTCATCTTCCTTGCAAATTGGTATCAGAGCAGTTGTACGATTGCGCTCATCTGGCGCTTGTCTTCTGCTTAATGCGGTACATACATGCGGCCTGCTTGGTGAGTTGGGCCGTAAGTGGTGTATAGTGAGGAGGGCGGAGAGAAGTGAGTGGCGACCCCGGAGGTGAGCGGTTCGCCAGGAAGGCTACGTGGTGTAATGTGGGTATGGACAGTGTGATGAGAACTATCTGATGTGTGATTGGTGCTGAGGTGTAACGGCGTGCAATGCTGGTTGTGCCAAAGCAATGACTGGTCATCACAATCGACATCAGGTCATCTGGTGAGATTATCTTTGTGGTTGGGGGCAACTATTTGAGGTACGTTGCTCTTAACCTTATCTACCCTCTTCGAGACTTCTTACCGTGAGGTTGTGTGTTCCTTCTTGAGAGTCCTCTCCTTGTGAGGTGTCGAGTACTCTCAACCTTGAGAGTCGGCAATATTCACGTGGAGCATCTGGGAGAAGATGGGCGGAGCTTTCTGAAGGGCCCTAGACGAAGCACTTGGTCACGGTCACCATGCCAACCCACCGGGAGTAGAGCACGCATGCTTTGTTGCTTGTCCTTTGTTCGGCTTGCTCCGCTGTTAGAAGGGTGCTGAAGGGCAGGCCAGCCCTAAGTGGGAGACGAGACCGAACGTCTTTAAATAAGTACCGGAAGGGGAAACCGTTGGCTGTGATTGTCGTCCGACTGCGAAGTAAAATAATTCCTGGAGACACTTGGGGGCGGTCGTTAAATTGCCTCTGGATCAGCCAATTGTTGTAAGGCTCGCTGCACGCAAGGATAATCCAGTGCAGGGCTGGCCAGCTCAGCAGACACTCGGAGCACAGGGGTGGGCCGAACACACACCTTTTAGACATGCAACGCTCTCCGGATTGCTCAGGGACGCTGACGTAAAGTGACATTCAGGGGAACTAAGGGAGGGGTAGATTTCAGGTGATAAGTTTGACAAAAATTCCATAGTGTCCTAGTCTATTTTTATGTTTTGATTAGTTAGGTGTACAGCCATTTGACATCTGACATACATCATAATTAGAACTGTAACTGTTCATTGTGCATTCTGTTCGCGGACTAATCAGGCTAAAAATAGTTTTGTTTGTAGGAACTTGAACTTACCAGTTAACCCCAAATGTATCTACTCCGAAATAGCCACCAATTAATTATTTATTTATCTTAAATTGGTCTGTCGACTACACTGTGGTAGGCATCCAGAGTGCATTAGTGCAGATTGTGTACAGTGCTGTAGCTTATGAGCGACGGGGAGGACACTAGAGAGGACGACCGGATCTTGCGATCGGCAAGGCGCCCAGTTGCCCATTTGGCATTAGGTCGAGAGGGTGACAGATATCTGTTTCACCAGCGTACGGAGAGGCAGCAGCAGCAGAGAGCCAGGGCTGAAGAGGCAAGCAGAGCATTCGTAAGTGAAGCCGCAGCTTCAGCAACCATGGCCACTTCTGCGCAGCAGAGTTCCCAGGCTAGTAGTTCAGGATCTGTAGGGTCAACGGTCGCGCAGACCCTAAGTCACTCCACTAGCGTAATGGCAAGTCAGCCAATAGTGTTGACTTCCGATGAGATCGCCATACAACAAGCAACATTGCAGGAGGCACAGCTACAGAAGGCTTTAGGAGAGATAAAAGCGGAGAAGGAAAGGATGATTAGAAGAAGAGCCAAGATGCAGCGGAGACAAGCGGACGTTAGTGAGTTAGAGGAGATGGACCTGACGCACGTGACTGATGATGGGAGGACCATACGGTCCGTCTTGCTAAATGTAGTTGAAATGCAGGACCATCAGACAACCATCCTTCAGGACATTCAACAAAGTCTGGCCCTGTTGGCTGGGAGAGCGCAGGCAGCGCCATCGATGTCCGGGTCTGGTGCCTCACCCGTTGTACAGCCTCCTCCTTTTGTCCCACCGGTGACTGGGGTATCCCCATATGTGGCCCCATCATCGGTCGCGATCGTGTCCCTGGCATGCCGCTATCAGGAGGGCTCTCAGCAGGTCCTAGTTTGCAGGTTCCTGTATAGACAGTGTTTACCCAATCTCCATTGCAGATTGCGGTTACCACGCAACCTGCTGTCTCGCAGCCTGTACAGCCGCAGGGTACACAGCCCCAGCAGCTAGCACAGCAGCCTGTGTCACAGGGTCCACAACCCGGAGTGGTGCAGGGACCGGGACAAACACAGTGGGTACCAAAGACGGCCATCGTCGCTCCTAAACCCTTCACAGGGGATAAGAGAGGCGAAGACCTCGACACTTGGTTGAGGGCGGTGTCGGTCTATGTCAAGTGTAAACTCACCTTGCCACACGAGGAAGTGCTTGTGGCTGCATCCTACCTAGAGGGTAGTGCAGCAAGATGGTTGAGCAGTTTGGTACAGCTACAGGGATACGGTCATGACTTTCGCGCTTGGGCGGTCACCCAGCAATTGGATGACTTCCTCAAGTTGGTGGAAGAAAGGTGGCATGATCCTCAAGAGGCCCAAAACGCCACTGGTGTGATCCTGACACTGCATACGAGGCAGTTCAAGTCAGTAAGCGAGGCCACCGACGCTATAGAGCGTCTGATCTGTGTCCCTGGGGTGCGTTATGACCCCCAGGTTCTACTCACCTCCTACCTGAGATGCTTTCCTATGCCTCTCAGGAATCAGTTGGCAGGTGAGGCCAACATCAATGTTCACAACTTCCCCTCGTTTAGCAAGAAGGCCCTAGACCTTGAGGCGAAGATAGGGCATGGGCAGGCACCCACTACGGATGGTAGGAAGAAGACACTGCCTCCCAACTGGAAGGCGAAAGGTCGCATTATGTTTGTCGATAAAGATGGTTCAACCATCGAACTATACGACAACTTCCAGGAAGGAGTAGGTTCAGAGGCTGGCAGCGTTGAAGCTTCAGGGGGTGGAGTTGTCGCTGCCGTAGCTCAGAAAGGTAAGGAGACCGGTAGACGTCGTGGAGGCTCCCGGTCAAGGAGTCAAGTTGACCCCAACGCTCCCCCATGGGAGAAGGCGGGTCTCACAGAGGACGTGTGGAGAGATCGGTATACACGGCAGGCCTGTATTCGTTGTGGTCAATATGGCCATAACCAATTCGAGTGCCGCAACAAGAAGGTCACCGATAAGATCCCGCCTACGATGGGGCAAGCGTTGTGATCCTCCCATCCCGTTGGTAGCAATGTAGCTAGTACTTCTGGCACTGCTCCGTGAAACACGTCGGGCCAGTAGGAATAGTAGCTGTTTCTGCTAGGGTCGAGGTGGTAGAAACACCCTCACCATCTCGAGAGATGGCCCAAGCTACTGACTCCAGCATCGTCCCGCAAACACATTCGGACCCATCGAGCCTTTGTTCGATGAATGTGTTTGAGTCCTTAGAGGAGCTAGAGGAGGAGTGGTCTAGATCAAACCCACTAGCTTCTTGGACGACATTAGTCAAAGCCCCTAAAGATGAGATGTTCGTCAGCGAGGTTGTCATTGGCGGCCGCAAGGCCGGGGCCTATTATGACACGTGCTCGACTAGGAAATTTATCAGTCACGCTTGCGTTGAGAGGCTGTGTTTACAGGGGCGAGTGCAGCGCCTAAGTCGACCTGTGGAGTCGACCTGTGCCAACAAACAGCGCATGGTAGTCAACGACTACCTCCAAGATGTTGAGTGTTGTTTTCCGTACACGGGAGGGGAATTGAGACATCGCGTCTCGTTCCTAGTGAGTGATGAACTCCCCATGGATATGTTGTTAGAAATGTACTACCTCTCTGTGGCACAACCCCAGTTTGACTGGGACCGAAAAGTGGTCAAACACACTTTGCCAGGTGGAGGGACCGCGAGATTGCGTAAGTTCAAAGCTAGTAGTCTGATTGAGTCCCACAGATGCATGTGTCCGGCCACGTTCTATAATTATTATAAGCAAAATCAGGAGGAGTGTATGTACCTAGTTTATGTCTTTGCTGCAGGCTAGCCGGTGAAAATGTTGTCGAAGATAGAGGGAGTATTTGCTAAGTACCCTAATCTATTTGAAGAGCCGACAGGGGTTGTTGAGAGGGAGGTCGTCCACGCGATAGAAATTATCCCAGGGTCTAGTATCCCAAAGGGTACGATCTATCGGATGTCTCCAGGCGAGCTCGATGAGCTTCGCCGCAACTCAAGGAACTCGTAGAGAAGGGTTGGATCCGGCCGAGTGTCTCTCCTTATGGGTCTCCAGTACTATTCGTACCTAAGAAGAAGGAGGGGACACTTAGGATGTACATTGACTATAGGGGCCTCAATGCCATCACTGTTAAGAACAGAAAGCCCCTACCGCGCATCGACGATTTGCTAGATAGAGTGCAAGGGTGTCGGTACTTCAGTAAGATAGATCTGAAGTCCGGGTACCATCAAATTGCAATCAGGCCCAAGAATCAACACAAAACCGCATTTCAGACCAGGTACGGTTTGTACGAGTTTGTGGTGATGCCTTTCGACCTTTGCAATGCTCCTGGCACCTTTCAGCACGCTATGAATCGGATATTTCATGACTACTTGGATAAGTTTGTCATCGTGTACCTCGATGACATACTTATTTTTAGTAAGACTGTCGAGGAGCACGTTGCACACCTGGACAAAGTCCTTAGTCTCCTACGACAACACAAGTTCAAGATCAACGGTGAGAAGTGCGAGTTTGGCCGCACCCGTGTCTTGTACTTGGGTCATGAGATCTCCGTAGAAGGGTTGAAGCCCGATGACGCGAAGGTGGCCAGCATTCGTGATTGGCCACGTCCTCAGTCTGTGACTGAGATGAGATCTTTCTTAGGGATGACAGGCTACTATAGGACTTTCGTTAAGAACTATAGCATAGTGGCCGCTCCTTTGACTGATCTGACCCGCCTTGACACCCCATGGGAATAGACAGACGAGTGCGAGGCTGCTTTCAGACATCTGAAGGATGCGTTGACGCACTACGAGGTCTTGAAACTTCCCGATCCTGACAAGCCATTTGTAGTCACCACGGATGCCAGCCAATATGGCATTGGCGCCGTGCTTGCGCAGCAGGAGGGGCCAAAGTTGAGGCCTGTCGAGTACATGTCCAAAAAGATGTCGTCTCAGAAGTTGGCAAAGTCCACCAATGAGAAGGAACTCTATGCGGTGTACAAGGCTCTGACCCATTGGAGGCACTATCTCCTCGGGAGGTTCTTCATCATCATAACTGATCATCAGATTCTGAGATGGATGAGAACTCAGCCGGTGCTTTCTGACGCTTTAAAGCGTTGGATCGAAGTCATTGAGCAACAAACACGTGTGGTATTGTCAGGTCCAGGCGCCTGGCTGGTTTACCATATATAGCATATAGCTACAATATTAGAAGATTGTGGTATGTAAAACCACGATTTCGAAAACTTATATGACTTTGACCCTCAGTATCTGAAAGGGGAGTACAACAAGGTTGCGGATGCTTTGTCGCGTAGACCTGATTTCTCAGGTGCGCTGATAACTGAGTTCGATCTGACGGACGATGTTACTCGCTCTTTGGTGGAGGCCTATCGCGAGGACCAGTTTATGTTTGAGGTCATACGCAGACTTGAGGTGAAGGATAAGAAGACTTCAACCGAGTTTGAATTGATCAACGACTTATTGTTCCTTGAGAAGGCCGGAAATAAACGGTTGTGTGTGCCAAATAGAGTCTTTGCGTAGTTTATTTTTAGGAGAGTGTCATGATGCCACCGGCCATTTTGGGTACAAGAAGACCGCAGCTAACTTGCTGCAGCGGTTCTGGTGGCCCACAATGATGAGAGATGCCCAACTGTACGTGGAGAATTGCCAGGTCTATCAGAGAGACAAGCCACGTACTCAGGCTCCTCTTGGGCTCCTGAAGCCCCTTCTGATTCCGGAAAGGCCTGGTGGCAGTTTGTCCATGGACTTCATGGATACGCTGGTTACCAGCAAGAGTGGGAGGAGACACATTTTCGTCATTGTGGATAGATTTAGTAAGTATGCTAGATTAATAGCCATGCCCGAGACTGCGAATACCGAGTACGTAATCAGATTGTTCAAAGAGAACTGGGTCAGGGATTTTGGATTGCCCAAATCCATAGTGAGCGACAGAGATATCCGCTTCACTAGCGAAATGTGGAAGGCCGCTGCTGCAGAGCAGGGAACCCAATTGCAGATGACTTCTGGGAATCACCCAAAGGCCAATGGTCAGGCAGAGCAACTGAATCGCGCTGTACAACACCTGTTGAGGCATTACATCAAGCCCAACCAGGTGGACTGGGATGAGAAGCTTGCTCTCATCGCCAGTCTGTACAACAACGCTGTACACAGCGCCACCGGGGTGAGCCCAAACAGTTTGCTATTGACTTTCAAGCCTAGACTACCCTTAGACTTTCTCCTTCCTGAGAATCAGTTAACTGCTGCACCAGGTACTTTAGAGTTTGCCTACAGGTATGAACAGAAAATGCAGCAGGCGGTAGAACAGATGCAGAAGGCACAGGCAGCAATGATAGAGTCTGAGAATAGACACCGCCGACCTTCTACGTTTCAGGTTGGGGACAGAGTCAGTCCTCAGAACTGGGAAAGGAGTACGGGATTTCCCACAACTCATGCCACAGTACTTTGGGCCATGGGAAGTCTTAGATATTGTTGGGACTGATCCAGATGGGCCATCTTATGTAATCCGGATCCCTGGTCATCTCCGTACTTACCCTGCCTTTCACGCCTCCAAGCTTGCACCTTTCACAGAAACAGATCAGTTTCCATCTCGTCGCTCAATGCTGCCCCCAACCATGGATGGAGAGGTGGATATCGATGATATCGTGGACCACAGAGAGCTGCCAGTTCCAAGACCAACAGGCAGGGGACGTCCTCCGAAACCAAAGCTGCAGTACCGCGTTCGGTTCCGACATCATACTAATCCTAAGGAGGACCGCTGGTTCACCAGGGAGGGACTTATGCAAACCACTCCACAAGTTGTAGCCCACTATGAGAAATCTCTGCAGAAGGGAAAGCGCCCGATGATTGAAGACTGAACTTCTAAGAGGACTGTTGAAGCTATGGAGGAGGGAATGCGAGGACACAGCCTCTATGAGCCCATTTCAGGCCCTTTTCAGCAGCTCGTCGGCCGCCCTAAGTGAAGGCAGGCTCGACAAGGACCCCAGGGCCTCTATTTCGGCCACCGCACAACTAAGGAAATTCAGGCAGTTGCGCAGTGCTAGTTGGTTGGAGGAATCCACGCCCTGGGCAGCCTGTTTGAATGTATCGAAGGCATTCCCAGGGCTGGATACAGGATGTGGGCCAAACGAAGTCCGTTAACAGTTGGGCGCGAGCAACCACTACAGGCCCAGGGTCTGAGTTGGGTGGACTGGGCCTCAGCCTACCGCGGCCTACCGGAAGCTTCTTGGGAAAGGCCCATCGCAGGCTGGGAGAGCAAGCAGGCAGACCACTTCCATATAGCAAAGGGCCTGCCTCCTCATTTGGCATT